TCTGTCCTTCCTTCTTTCTTTCTTTCCTTCTGTCCTTCCTTCTTTCTTTCCTTCTGTCCTTCCTTCTTTCTTTCCTTCTGTCCTTCCTTCTTTCTTTCCTTCTGTCCTTCCTTCTTTCTTTCCTTCTGTCCTTCCTTCTTTCTTTCCTTCTGTCCTTCCTTCTTTCTTTCCTTCTGTCCTTCCTTCTTTCTTTCCTTCTGTCCTTCCTTCTTTCTTTCCGTCAGTCTTTCTTTCTTTCTTTTCCTCTTTCCTTCTGTCCTTCCTTCTTTCTTTCTGTCCGTCCTTCTTTCCTTCCTTCTTTCTTTCTGTCCTTCCTTCCTTCTTTCTTTCTGTTCTTTCTGTCCTTTCTTTCTGTTCTTTCTGTCCTTTCTTTCTGTTCTTTCTGTCCTTTCTGTCCTTTCTTTCTGTTCTTTCTTTCTGTCCTTTCTTTCTTTCCTTTCTTTTCTTTCTTTTCTTTCTTTGCTTTCCTTTGCTTTCCTTTGCTTTCCTTGCTTTCCTTTTCTTTCTTTCCTCCCTTTTCCTTTCCTCCCTTTTCCTTTCCTCCCTTTTCCTTTCCTCCCTTTTCCTTTCCTCCCTTTTCCTTTCCTCCCTTTCTTTGTTTTTTGTTTTTTTTTTTAATGGAGGCCCTAGAGAATAAAGTGGTGTGTATTTGCGTAGCGGTTTTTTTCAAACACTTTTTTTTAAAATACATTTTTTGACTTTGTAATGCACAGAAACACAATATAATACCCAGTTGTTTTGGTAACATACCAAAGATGATGTTACGCAGAGTAAACAGATATCAAACATGATTTAAATTTGCCCGTGCAGCGGCGACAAACTACTTACATTTTATTATCCATAGGCGATGCTTTAAAAGCCTTTTACAGGTTGCCACTTTAGATTTACACAGGATGTCTGGTGCTCGAATTACTGCCCTCGATCTGACGTTCGCAGTGACACCTCGCATGTGCGGTGGGATTGCTGTTTACGTTGCCTTTGCGTGCGAGGAGGGTGAGGATGCGCATGCACAGCTCGGTGTACGTACAATAGAGGACTGCCAGCAGACAGGCCAGTGTGTATTATTTATTACATAACATGTCTCTGCGGTAAAGAGCTTCCTGCTCCATTTTCTAAAAGTTGGGTTTAGTTCCACTTAAAACTGGCCATACACTAATAGAACTTTTAAGGCTGCAGTCACACTGGACCGTTTTGTAGCTCGAAGCTCCAAAAAATCTCAAACTTAAAAATATCA